CCTGCTACAATAAAAAAAAAATTGAAGACAGCATCATTAAAACACATGAGCTGGAACTGATAAATAACAGAATGGACCAATAATTAGCTACAGAAGTAACTTTTTCAACCTACCACCTCAACTCTACAGCTCATATCTAGTATTACAACAAAAATGCCCCAAATCTCCCCATTTGAGTACAAAGAAAATGAATACATGATAAATCAAGCTAAGTCGATGTAATAATTATTGTGACAGGCCTACTCACAACCAGATATTCAGCACTCAGCATAAGGCCGACTGTACTGACAATTCAATTATTGCTATTACTATACAATGAGCCTTTGTAAGACAAATTTACAATGATGCCATATTCATTTTCTATTACACAAATACTACACTAACATTAGCACCATATTAGTAAAGTATTTGTGGTTTGCTCATACAATCTCCAAGGTATTTTTCAGCAGAGATGTTTTTTCAGATGGCAAAGAGGGGACGACTAGTACAAATTTTGGTGCTAGAACAAGAAGTCTGAACCTATAAACACACAAACCTGTCAAAAAGGCATAAAAGGTAGTTCAGGTTGCCAAGAAAACTACAGCATTTTGACAGGACCTGGTTAGAGACCAGTGGTGAAAAGAGCACTGGCAACTGTACTTAAGTAAAAGTACAACTACATGGTAAAAAATGTACTCAATTACAAGTATATGTACTGCTACAAAAATGGTACTTAAGTGAAAGGACTAAGTACGCATGAAAAATACCACTCAAAGTACTAGTTATTTGTCACTTTGCTTTACTTTGCTTTGACTTGGCCAGTGAAAGCAGGCTAAACAGTATCGTTATGTGTTTTTGCACAGCATTGCTATTTGGAACGATTTAAACTTTTAAAGACAATGAAGTACAATTGCATGGCTAGATTAATAAAATTACAAGTACATGTTTAAAAAATCTACTCTACTACAACAGAGTGACAGAGAGAGTCAGATAGAGAGAGAGAGAGATAAAGAAAGAGACAGAGACTGAGATATTTTACTGATCCGAAAGAAATTCATATATAGCTGCAGCAACATTTGCACTGCACTTCTCAATCATCTGAGCCTGATTCATCAGCCGGTTTCACTTCGTAGAAACCGTCCGACCTCACAGCGTTAGAATATGTTCACTTGATGGTAGGTGGGTACTTTTCTTTATTTAACCAATCGCTGCTATTTGGTCGTGATGTATGTAATGCGCCGCTAACGGGGTGTATTAAGCTTTTCTCAAATCCTGTAAGAAGAAGGGCAATAACGTCTTTCCCCTTCACCAAACATTCTCTTTGTTCCAGCTTTGAATCCTCGATCTTGGGAATCGTTGACAACACAGAATGTATGGCTCTTCGCTAATTGGCTGGTGCCCGAACTTGCACTTCCTGGGTTTTTGCGAACTGTAGTGTATTCTGATTCCTAACCTAGTCACTAGAGAGAAAAGAAATGAGCGGAGGCACTAGGTGGTGCCAGCCTGGCTACAATTGCCTCTGCGTCTCAGTCAAAAGTCTCAGATCACTTTAACAGGTAGGGTCAGCAGATCTGTGTCAGGGCAGTTTGAGGAGAGGAAAAGCCAAATGTGTCCATTTTCTGTGTCCTGCAGCATCAGAAAGACCTCGTTCTTACTTTGCTCTGGTGTTTTGGTGGAGTGAGCTAGTCCCTTTAAGTATTTCCTGTGAAAGGTCTTTTGCCACATTTGCTGCCACATATGATGTAAAAAGCCTGCAGCATCTCAAATATCCTCAGTGAATCTTTTGCATAGTCGCCATGGGTATGAGATATTTCACACAATCCAACAGTCTATTGTGTTCATTCTCTCAAAGTATTGTAAGCAGCCAATAAGAAACTTTCTACTTAACTTAAACGAATCTCAGAAATAAAATGGCTGATTATCTGTACGGCAACCCTTCAGGATGTGGAAGGAAATTGTAACCAAGGGTGCAAAGTGGGCGAGGATCTATGAAAAAATTAAATGCAAACTAACACTTAGGCCTGCATGTTTGATTGTAATATAATAAACAACTATAAATCATAAGGAGAATGGAACTGATGAAATTTTCGTATTGTAAACGGGAAAATAAAACTTCTATTGCCTGAAGAATAAATATCAGGTTGACAGAATACTCCACACCCCAAACTGCGAGGTGTTTTATTCTTGCACAAATAAAGAAGCAAAGTCTAAAAACATAAGACTGTTATATTATATCACAACAGTAATTATTCTTGGGTTTCAGCCTCCTGTCATTCATTTTGGGTTTCAGCCTCCTGTCATATACATTTTGAGGACTTTTCTCCTTTTCTCCATTCAAAAGATGTAATATTTAGTTTTACATAGTTAATCTTGCCTTAATCGCCATGATAATTGTCTTAATTTCTCTCTTACTTTAAACATGATAACCTCATAACCCCACAGAAAAATGAGAGGTATGTATATGTATGTACACTCCTATTCATAACAAACAGGCCAATTAGTGCATATTTGTTGCCATATAATAAAAATAATCATATTGAATTAGGAGATAGATTTAAGCCTGAAGCGACAGAACATGACAAAGACAACAAATGTGATATGCAGTGTAGCTCTCACCAAGATAATAAAGGTGTTATGGCAACTGCTCAAGTTTCTTCCATACACACACATACGCATGCACATACTTAATAATATGGAACTGCTTAGGGTGTTATTAGTAGTTCTTATTAGGACGCAGAAACGAGGACATGGAGTGAGTTATGAGTTAAATCTACCATTGCACATATAAAGACATCCAAGATATATAAGTACTTCTTGATACACATAGATATTATTTCATCTTGTGCAAGTGTTTTGTGTCATAAATAAGTTTTAAAAGCCACTGGCAAACCCCCTTTTGTCAATTGCACAGTTGACCATTTGACTACAGGACAGATTAGCAAAACGATAAGATAATACTAGAAAAGCACTCAGAGAGCGCAAACCTCCGCCAAGGACTACAGTCCCCCTCATATTAATTGTGTTTTCCATAAATATTTGTCTCATATCTTTCAATTTGGAATATGAAAGAGGATCCCATTGTCCATCCCTGAGTCAAATTTCATGGGGTTTGGTCAATAATTAACCGAGATATTGAGAAACAAATTTTTGGCCCCATTTACCACAATGTTAACTAAAATTTCAAAGTGATCCAGAATCCAGGATTTCTTCCGGATCACCCCCAAAATGAAAACAGTTGTTCCTTTTCACATTTCCAACAAATCCTGAAAATTTCATCAAAATCGGTCCATAACTTTTTGAGTTATGTTGCTAACAGTCAAACAAACAAACAAACAAACAGACAAACGCCGGCAAAAACATAACCTCCTTGGCGGAGGTAACAACATATGCCTGTCACTATAATTACTATATCAATTTATAGTTCTGTATATGAAAGCTGGAGCAATATATTTTTGGGTTCAATATTTATCATGTGAACATTTGTCCACATTTTCTTTGCAATACTGGGGAGATTTTTGTTATTTTTATTGTTTTACAATATTACAATAAGGGTTGAATAAGTTACTTCTATGACTATTTATTGCGTCATTCTGCTTACAAAATGGTTTACTTGGATTATCCTGCTTTATTTTGTCTGTGTGTGGAATAAAATAGTTCCAGTATTATCGTTTATCATTGTATTTCTCTGTAGCAATATATCATGCTTAAAAGAAATGCTTATTATAGTGCCAGGCCTAGGTCAACATTTCAGAAAAAGGCATTTAGAAGAACCTATTTCACATAATTAGTTACTTATAAATAAAATACTACCACTGTTTTGTCAATGTTTATATTATATAGATTCCACATTAAATAAGGTACTGCTTCTAATTATACTTTACACCATGTTCAATTGGGTGTTTCTTTATAAAACAAATAAATAAGTGTCACTACTTACAAACTCATCCCTGTGTTGTTTATTCTATTCCCCCCTGCTTTTAGGCTCAGACTTCAATAATACAATAACATTACAAGTCTAATAAAGCAAAATGCAATTCCATAGACTTAAAGGAAGTAATGAGACTTTCAGCCATTCGAACTCCATTCTTAGCAGGTGTCCAAAATTGTAACTAGTCTTTCACCCTAGAGTGAAATGCAGCAGCATCTTTTGTGTGTAACTGTCCGGTACTCTGAGCAAAAACATATCAACATTACCAACTCAGACAGGAAAAGATCCACTAACACAAGGTATACTATTTCAAACATACCTGTGCATTGACTTTTTTTTCGTAAAGGGGGAATTTTGTAAAAGATGAAAAACCAAATTGTTTGTGTAAATAACAGGTGAGTTTTAGGGTGGCAAAGTGGTTAGTACTGAGATCATTTTGCTAATGGGAGCTTGATTGTTATCCCCATATCTTTCCAGAATTCTTTGAGAAAACATGTTGAGTAACAATATATTTTCCCCAATGAATAAATTTGAGAGTGAATGATGATTATTTCATGCGTGAATAATGCACAAAGTTGCTTTACAATTCTGTGTATTATTCATTTACTCAATACTCAGTGATGGAAACTACAGCTGTCGTGGGGTAGACTGATAGAAGGGAGGCTACCAAACTGCACCATCAGCCCCTCTGACCACCACTCACACGTACACACTTCAGACTAGACAATGTGGGGAAGTGTCTTTGTGCCACAGGCTCCCCACTGTGACACCGGGAATTCCCAGTGGATGGTATAGACAGGTATGCCCGTTCCTCCATGTCCCATCACATACAAAAACAGGTCCTTTGATTTCTACAATTTGAGGTACTCTCCCCACCTGTGACCCACTGACAACCATGTCACCCCAAATTGTAGTCATCCATGCCGCCTGCTTTGCATATTAGAAAACGTAACTAAAGCCTCCGACCACACCACTTGCTTTAGGATACTGAAGGTGTTAAGACTTGAATGGTGCACGTCAGTCAGTAAGCTGAGCAGAGTGATGTTATACCTATACACTTGAGTGACTCTCAGTTTCACTCAAATGCAACACAATGGCTGGCTGCTGGAGCCTGCTCGCTGCTCTGCTGTTCATCCACTCCAGTAAGTTTCAGTTTTATATCAGGACCTCAAGTCTGCTTAAGTGTTCATTTAGTCACCTTATGCATTTTAATCAACAACAAAATATATTTTTCTTAATTTCTTCATGGTGCATGTAAAGACATGTTCCTTGGATGTTGAGTTTGTTTACGCTGTTGTTCGTGGCTCTGAGATTCAAAGTGGAACTTGAATCTAGTCTCCACACCTTCCTTTCATTTGTGTATGTTTAGTTTTTATTATTCAATAAAAATACCAGTTCTTTTGCTCAAGAAAAATATACATTTTTAGTTCACAAAAAAGTTTGTAAATTTGGTCAGAGTTTTAGTCAGAGTACTTTTTATTTCATTTTTAGTAAGTTTTAGTCAGCAGACTGATTGTTTTCTTTTTCCAGCAACTACATTCAAACTGGTGTGCCACTTTTCCAACTGGTCCCAGTACACGACAGGATTAGGCAAGTTTATGGTGGAGGACATAGACCCTTTCCTGTGCACACATGTGGTGTATAACTTTGCTGTTATCAACCATGACAACAAGCTCACAGGAAATGAGTGGGCCGAGAAGAGCATCTACCAGCATTTAGCTGGACTTAAAAACAGGTACACAACTCTCTTTAAGTTGTTTTAGAAAGCCCAGATGAATAAACAAATGTGAAATCTGATCTATTTTGAGGAGTTTTAATTATTTGCGTAGTCCAGTGGTGGAAGAAGTACTCAATTATGTTACTTAAAAGTAGAAATACAGAAGCAAGAAAATAAAACACTCAAGTAAAATTTTCATCACATGAAAAATTCTACTAAATCTACTTAAAGAGTAAAAAATATTTTGTGCACATTTTAAGATTTAATGAAGCTTCAAATATACTGATTTTGATAAAGATCTGTTCAGAATTTTGTTCAGCAGAAGCAGTTGAATTAACAGTTTTTTTGTAGCTGATTTATTTGTATATCTTTGTTTACTCAGACCACAAATGTTCTAAAAAGAAAAGAAAAAAAACTCAGTCTTTTCAACAGGTCTCAATCAATAATAAAAAATAAGTTTACTTTTTAGTCCAGTTCAAAAATATAGTGGAATAGAAAGTACAGATACCTGCTCTCAAATGAAAAAGTAAAAAGTATCCTCTGTAAAATCTAGTTAAGTAAAGTACATATACATAAAATGTATACATAAGTGCAGTACTTTACTTCTTTTGCTTCTTAATTTCCACCACTGGCATAGTCTAATTTGTAATAATTATATGTAATCATTCATATGTTCAATGCATTTTATTAAAAACTTGTTATAGTGTAATATTTTTATCATCTTGGTTATGTGAACTCATTGCATATCTTCAGTTTGTTTCTTCTGCAATATGTGCATAGCTTCTTAGTTTCATGCAATTGTGGTTAAGAAAATTGCTATTATTTTAAAGGCACAATCTTGTTTAACTACTCTGCGAGTTGTTGTTCACTTATATTATATGACTTACCTACATATATTAATATTTCTATATAAATATTTCTATATTGTAATAAAATTCTGCAAACATAGCAAACATAGGTTGTTTGTTGACATTTTGATCCGTCACTGTTTAATTAATTAGAACTTTTCCCCCAGAAACTCTGAGCTTAAGACTCTGCTGTCAGTGCAAGAGAGGAGCGCCAGTGAGCCACGGTAAGTGCACACCGCCCTCTACTGACTGAAAGTTGTAACAAAGAATGTTGTAATGGGATAACAAACCTTTGTGGTGGTTGAGACAAATCAAATGCCCAGCAGCTGAATGTTGTTGTTTTTTTGTCCAGGTTTTCCAAAATGGTGTCCAGTGCAGCCACTCGTCAGACCTTCATCCAATCGACAGTCACTTTTCTGAGGGCACAAGATTTTGATGGTCTGGACTTGGACTGGAATAACCCTGGAAACAATAAATACAAGTTCACTCAGCTGTGTAAGGTGCTACCTCCGCTTCCTCCCATTAATGTTATTCTTTGTAGTTTTTACATTATGCTATTTTCTGGTATATGATATATACCATATATATTGTTTCCTCATCAAAAACATACTTGTTTGGCACACAAATCTTGCATATTTATTTATACAGGACTCATATATGATTTATTTATTCATATAGGAAATGTGCCACTGTTTTGTTTTTGTTTTTTTTTTTTTTTTTATTTAACTCTGTACATGTTCACTAGAATTCCCAAAATCTACTGAACTAAAGTTAAAAGGTTCACTTCAAAATTACTGCTCTACGACATCACAAGGTGGAACAGAGCATTTTGAGCTTTGTAGGCACACTACTAATAAAGGGTTACTCAAACATGTGTGAATGAAAACACACAATTCCAGGTATGTTTTTGAGGAAGTAACAAGTTTGTAACATGGCTTCAAAGCTCACAAGAGTCAATTTTGTATAATGTAGGATCTTCAAGTTTATCTGTTGACATGCTCATAGATGTGCTTATAGATTTGAAAAAATAAGCAAAATACAGAGCTTTTAAAGATTCCACTGTGATTACATAAAAATGTGCAGTTAAAAATGTTGTCAGAATTTGGATCAATAATTACTAATGATTCACAGGATCTGCTGCAGGCCTTTGAGAATGAGAGCGTTGGAACAGAAAGACCCAGACTGATGCTGTCTGCTTCTCTGACCCCAAAAACAGATGTCATCTCCTTTGACCACTACGAAGTCACAGAGTTAGCGAAGTAAGCTCTATATCAGTTATAATATATAATGTTTGAATGTGCACAAAAACATCACTGGTCAACTGCACATAAATGTGACCCAAAAGACTGTGTTATTTTTAAATGATAAACTTCTATCTTAAAAGATCTGTACTATAGTATTTTCTGATACATGTTATAATGTTGTTTCCTCATCACAAACATACATGAGATGTGTTGTCTTTCATTCTCACATTTTTAACTCACACACCCTGCATATTTAGGCTGTGTTCTTCTCTGATACAGGAAGTGCTCCACAGTGTTTTTAAACTCCATACACCTTCACTAGAATCATTTGGATGATTTCAGCCCTGGAATTGCCAAACTCTACTGAATTAAAGGTAAAAGGTAGCTGTTAACTTGAAAACTACTGCTTCATGACATCACAAGGTGGAACAGAGCATTTTGAGCTTTGGAGCTGTAGACAGACTAACAAAAAGGATTACTCATGTGTGTGAATGAAACAAAACACAGCTCCAGGTATGTTTTTGAGGAGGTAACAATAAAAAATAGCTTAAAGCTCACAAGAGTCAGTTTCAATAAAGATTTAAGCAAGACAACAAAATCTAATATGATTTCAGAATTCTGGACTTCATCAGTGTGAAAACGCTTGATCTCAGTCATGGTGCAGTAACAACCCACCACAGCCCACTCTATAGCAACGACAATGCCACCATAGTAATGACTATTTATGTCCTTATTTATTTATTTATTTATTCTATAGATAGAAAAAAAATTATTGCATTAACTTTTTGCTCTGTTCTTTTTTTTTCAGGATTTTATCACACAGTACTTGCTGGACCTAGAGATTCCTGCAGAGAAGTTGTTGCTAGGATTCCCTGCTTACGCTCGTTCATACACACTCTCCACTGAAGCATCTGGTCCTGGAGCTCCTGTGAGCGGACCAGCCTATCCAGGCCCATTCACCCAAGAGATGGGCTTCTGGTCTCACTATGAAGTAATATGCCTTTCAGGTGTAATAATATAACCCTGCATATTTAGGCTGAGTTCTTCTCGCAAATGGAAAACACACTGTTCCTACTTGTGATGTCATGTAGTAATACAGGAAGTGCTCCACTGTGGTTTTTAAAATCCATACACCTGCAGTAGAATCATTTGGATGAGTTCAGGTCTAAAACTGCCAATCACTACTGAACAAAAGGTAAATGTTAGCTATTAACTTGAAAACAACCAAAACATGACATCACAAGGTGGAACAGAGCGTTGAGAACGTAAATAAACTAAAAAAGGATTATACAATCATGTGTGAATGAAACAAAACACAACTCCGTGAATGTTTTTGATGAGTTAGCAATATTCCAAAATGACAAAAGTTCACATGAGTCAATTTTGCATACTATAGGACCTTTAAAACAGCTAAAACTGTATTGTGCATTCAAAACACATTCTTTTACTCTGCAGCCATTAATAACTGTGTTGTGTTGGTGCCAGACATGTGCCTTTCTACAGGGGGCTTCGGCCTACTGGATTGACAGTCAGAACGTGCCCTATGCTGTCAAAAACAATCAGTGGGTGGGCTTTGACAACCAGAAGAGCTATAGTGCAAAGGTACACTGGCAGAAGCAGTACACACACGCATTTTAAACTCAAATCTAACTATATGAATGTGTTTGCATCAGGTGACGTACCTGAGGAACCAGTATTTGGGAGGTGCCGCCGTGTGGAGTCTAGACTTTGACGACTTCAATGGAAGATTCTGCGGTCAAGGCTATTATCCTCTGATCTCCCATCTGAAAGCGGAACTTGGGAGAGGTGACAATACACCTGCACAAAAAATGCATTTGTTCAGAGATTATTTTATTATTTATTTTTTTATGAATTGAATTTCTCTTCTCTTAAGTTTGTAAAGAGAAACTATAATGTACTTAACTGAATGGTGAAGGTTTAATTATATGGTGAAGGCTGACATTGCTTTGCAAATAATGACAAACAAAAAAAGTATCATGTACGATGACATACTGAAAATTAGGGGTAGGATTAAAATAAGATGTGCTTCTTCCTACTTGACCTTTTACACTTTTTTTTCTTTCTTTTCATTAAATGTACATGTTTTGAATGTCCTTCCAAGCAGAGAGACTATATACTTTCTTAAATTTTAAAATGTTCAAAATAAAGTAACTCTAACTCTAAATAATTTTCAGAATCAAATAACACAACTACAATTGAACCAGAAAACCCGAAAACCCCGAAAACTACAAGCAGCCCGCACAGCTCCATCAGCCCAGTGAGGAACAGCAGCAGTGGGATAGTGGACCCCATCTGCATCAACAACATCACAGTGGAGCACCCAGACCCCAGTCTATGCAAGGACAAAGCAGACGGGCGCTACCAAACAAAGCAGGAGCCTCCCCTCATTTATGTCTGTGCCCTGGGAAAAGCATACGTCACAGAATGTACCACAGTGCACAGCCAGAGTGCCACAGCAACACCAGGCGGACTCCTGCTCAACCTTTTCCTCACCAGCGTACTCTATAGTTGTTGTGTGTATAGGTGATTTTTATGATGGCAAAAGAAAGGACTTATTGGAAAACAATTCTTATTCATTTTTGTTTTTGTCAGGTTAGTTTACAGAGTTGTTGGTTGGTCGTGTTCATGTGATATCACAACAAGAAAAGAAAAGATTAATTTTTTTCTTGGCTCCTACCGTTCTTCTGAGATATTAAAAAATAATATTGTCTGGTGATGCATTTTATGGTTTAATTGATGTCATAATTGATGTGATAATTGGCACAATCTAGAAATCTAAAAAGCATCTGTTTAAGTCTATAATGGTATGTTCAATAAACTCATGGAATAAAAACATCTTTGTAAAACCGGAGAGTTGCAGCTGCCATGATGATGAATTCTCAGTGACCAATTTTTCTTGGCCATCAGGCTTCCAGGTGTTTTGGCCCGTATTATCTTAAGCAGAACATTTTACTACAGGTTTTTTGAGAATGTACCTTGATAAAACGAATATCAAACCTATTCAGTGTACTGTATTTTACTGAAGTAGCTAATATAAGCATGAATTAAGGTCTGGTGGCTCATTCTAACCTGTTATATGTTATGCACATATTTAAATTATTCACTATGTTGACCATCAGTCGACGGCTCTCCACTCTGTTTGTGTTTTAATAAGCGGATCTTCATGAGAAAAGTTTGGTCTAATCATGCACCATATTATGATAGCGCTCAAGCTAATATAATCTTTGATTTATTTTAAATATATTATTTTATTTATTAATATAAATTTGGGTCATTATTATTTTGTATATTATTCTGGGGAATTAATTTATATTACTTTGCACTTATTATTTTTTATTAACAATTCACATTATTTATTATATTATGCTGGGGACGTTAAATTCACTTTCTGCATAATAATATTGGTTCCTATTATTGTTTCGGGAGAGCGCATTTGGTCAGCGCAACTGTATAGAAAAAGTGAGTGCGCAGTTGTTAATAAATAGAATAAAATAATATTATGTATAATAAATCAAAGATTACAGTATAACACTGTAACCTTAACTGTTTAACTTGGCGTTTGATGAATAACCGAATCTGGGTAGCCAATACTTTCATAACATCGCATAATTAAGGATAGTTTACCGTGTCTCAAAGAAGAATCCTTGCATCACATGTGGATTGCCCTATCATATATATCGCATATGATCACCTATGACTGAATACCAAAGTGATCAACAGCATCGCCAGAGCAGTGACACCACAGATCTATGAGGCGCACCGTAGATCCCCCGAGGGTCACCGTAGATTCACGAGGGGCACTAGTTTTTCTTTAGCCTGTGTTGAACTTCCCCTTCGACACCAGCAGGTGGCAGCACTCTCCGCACTTCACGAGGAGTGTACTCTGGAAAGTGCTTGAAGAAGATCTCCCATGATCCTCCAGCGCTGTACACGTATCTCCTGCAACAGCTCGACTTTTACTCACACTAACGACTAGTACGGAGTTTGTGTACTTTTTTGGATTGTCAGACATGGTCTGTGACTGACATAGACGTACCAGGGGGCGGGTCACGCATGACTGTCCGGGAGAGGAGCACTGTTCTCGGATGAGATCACAGTGAAGTCTCGAAGCGGAAAGCGGCTAACCCTCAGTTAGCTTTAGCAAGAGTTTGTTTACATTGCCGTCCAACATGTACACTTTATTATCTGGCTTATATAAGTACATGTTCCAAAAGGACGAGTACTGCGTCCTTATCCTGGGACTAGACAACGCAGGGAAAACGGTAAATATAAAAATTACCCTTATATCCTATACATATCCTCCTGTACCCTGCTCTCTCTTACTCAATGATTTAATTTTACACTCTGCAGACGTTTCTGGAACAAACCAAAACCAAATTCAGCAAAAATTACAAAGGAATGAATCTTTCTAAGATAACAACGACAGTTGGCCTAAACAGTAAGTTAGATCATAATTTGATGTGGAGTCCAAATGACTGTGTTCTCATTCTGGGCCATTGCTTTACAGTCGGCACCATCGATGTGGGCAAAGCTCGGCTCATGTTCTGGGATCTGGGGGGTCAGGAGGAGCTGCAGTCTCTGTGGGACAAAGTATGTGACTGTTCACTATTTCAGTGGCACCTTCGTCACCACAGCAGCATGCCCACGTTTGTTTGCTGTGAAATTTTCATAATGATACATTGCACAGTCTAAAGGGGGGGGTTTCTGACTACATTCCCACTCCGAATACCTAGACTAACCTAGAGCATTAGTTCCCTGTAGGAATGTACATTTAAATGTAACATGTGGGAAGCCTGTATCAGTTTGGAAGCATAACCTTTTAATTTATTACGAAGTATTAATTCATGTATTTATTATTATTTAGTATTATGCTGAGTCACATGGAGTCATCTATGTAATTGATTCAACTGATGAAGAGCGCCTATCCGAGTCCAAGGAGGCTTTTGGTCAGTCTTACTTTAGTGTATAGTGTGTATATCAATGTTTTCTTTCTTGATAACCAATTATATTGTCCATGTTTATGATCTTCAGAGAAAATGATAAGCAGTGAAGCATTAGAAGGTGTTCCGTTGCTGGTTCTAGCCAACAAACAGGATGTACCGGTACATTCTCACACCAAACACAATCACTTTTGTTAGCTGCTTTTTTAGATGCTTTGGCTTATTATGTTATTCTTTATTATTTTATCACAGAACTGCTTATCTGTGCCTGACATTAAAACAGCCTTCAGTGACTGTGCCCCAAAGATTGGCAAAAGAGACTGTTTGGTTCAGCCCTGTACGGCTCTCACAGGGTAAGTAAAGTAGATGTATATTTTATCAGAAAGTCACTGGCAAGAAAATTGTTAAATGCTTGAAAAATATAATCTATTTATGCCCAATTTAAAACTGATTTCTGTGTCTTGTGGGTAAAGTACTTCCCACCTTTTTCTCTCTATAACTTTTACTAGTTGACATGTTGAAACTTCCCATAACATTCTCCCATCTGTACTTTATTCTAAAGAAACATCATTGTTTTCATTAATTTAAATTGCTTCAGTTATGAAATATTAAATATGTAATTGTGTTGCAGAGATGGGGTGAATGAAGGCATTGAGTGGATGGTGAAGTGTGTGGTGAGGAACATTCACCGGCCGCCCAGACAAAAGGACATCACTTAGCTGCTCCTGGTCTAACTGGACTTTACCACTCACATTCCACCTGCGGCTGGAACTGGTCTACCACCTTGTCCGTTTGTTTGCTGTGACTTTAGACACTGTTTTTTACACACAAGTTCATCATTACCAGGTGGGGCACAAGGGCCCCATGAAGTCAGCAGAACTTTGACGGCAGCCTGGCAGTGTTTGTATTTTATTGTTACAGAATGAAATTATATTTCACACACCTCATCTCAAATCCTAAAAAGGCAATTGTCCTTTTTTATCATAATTATTGTGTCTAAGTTGTAGTTCTTGATTAAGTATACACATTTGAAGTACCATATAATTGTTTAGCAATATTGTAGAACCAGTGCAGCACTGCCTGTGTGCCCTGGCCCAATGGAGTGGTGTTGATTATGATCATGAGATGGCTCCATTTAGACCCTTTCACATCTTTGTAACAATTACTATGAAAGGCTAATGCCAATGTTAATTTAATTTGACGTAAATTGAAACTGACTGTGTTAATGGACATATTGTCACTGTTATTGGGGAAAACAACTTGTACAGCTTGGAAAGTTGTATAAACAATGTATCAAGTCGTTTGCTCAAGCCAGAGAAATGGCAATTATGTCCTGAGTTGTGGGACACTGGTGAAAAGCCAAAAAAAGGTAGACAAAGACGCTTTGTATTAATTGACCATTATGCTTAGGAGAATTGCTGAAAGCAACTGCAGAGATTGTGACTCAACATTTTGATCAACGGAGTGTGTTCTCAGCATGTGAATGCATACGTCAGGAGAATGAGGACTGCTCTCATACTAATCCTGAATCCGACCTGCCCTACACTACAGAGGATATGAAATGCAAACATACTTTAGTGGTTTTGCTGTTGGTAACAGGTGTCATGTTTTAATGGCAGCATTCAAATACAAGTTGGTCTCCTATTTACTACCTTGTATGAACCTTTTGTATTACATTTGGTGTTTTTCTTGTGTCTTAATAAAGGGTGAAACAAACTTATAAAAAAAAAATAAAGCATTGTGCAGTACACGTTGTCGCTACATCACATGTGACATTTCCAATGGATAAAAAATACACAACACAGATTTACATCCAACCTTTATTTTTTGAAAATAAAAAACAGATGTAATTCACATTAGTGCCCTTCCATGTGATAATCAGGGAGTCTTTTAAGAACCTGAATTGCTTTGAGTTGCGTTGGGATGAACAGATTGTCTAAAAACCAGAACCTAATCACCTTGTATGCAAGATCTGCTGAACCATGAAAACAGAAAGTCGTAAACAGTATTTGCATGACAAACAATTAACCAAGTCTTGACATGTCCCAGAAGTCAGATTGTCATGAACACTGAAATACTGTACACAAATTATGAATGTTGGAATTAATAATGAGTAGTAACAAATACATAGAACCATACACAATAAAGGCGAAATAAAGTTCAAGTATATAATAATCAAAATGTGTGCAAAAACTGCATCACCTTAACCCAACCACAAATACTTGCCCAAGGTAAACAAAAAGCTGAAATGAGTGCACCAGGAAATGGCTCCAAAAAATGAGGTAGTAAGCCTAAATCATCAAGATTTAGTATAAGGCAGCACAGGTGGCAAACCTCAACTGCAGTGAAACTTTTAAAGGCTCCTACAGAGTTACAAGCATTGCATATTACAGTTGCACAGGGTTAAAACATTCTGCTCTGTCTTGATAATGATTTAAAATCAAAGTCATTGTGTAAACGTAGTGAGATTCAGTGCTCCAGCTGGAAGCGCCACATACTCTACACACAGATTACAAAAATGAAAAGAAATTATTTTAAATCAATTGACAAATTGGATACTAGTCTACAAGTCTAGTCATAGCAGGTAGCTCAGTCAGAAACATACTGAACCTTAAAGATGCACTGCACAACTTTTCTGGTGGAGGGTTTGCTACCTAAATGTCTGTATTGAGATGTTCTTGCTTTGTCTGGAATGTTCCATGGTATGACATTAAACAAATCCATCTAGCATTTATTCACTACGGGTGCCTGTGAATAGGTACGACTCTCCACAAATCTGAATTGTAATGTAGCGTAGTGCTGTAATCTGCTCGTCTCCCTCATGATAGGTAGATTTAATATATACTGTGGAACAATCTAGATAAAGCAATAACATTCCCATGGAGACAAGCAGGTAACGGACCCGCCACCAGAAAAGTTGCATAACACACCTTTAATAGGAGTCAAACACATCCTCCAGATTGAGAGCATACTGTATTTCATTTTAGGGTGCTACAATGGGCGAGCAAAATCCAGTATCAGTTAATAGCTGGGTCAACACAGCTTGGACCTGGTTCACTGCAAATTCAAAATACATAGCACTTAAAACAGATCCCACGGTACCACAAAGAACGTGTCAACCAGAGTGGGCCAATGGATGCAGAGGCAACTGTACACTCCCATTACTCTAAAGTAAACAGAAGTAGTAATTATCACAATTGCTCTATATTCAAACCAGCCAGTTATCCAGTTATTGTTAAAAGTTATAACCATTTGCAAAAAGGCATGCCTAGACAAGGTATGCTATTGTTCAACAGTAAAGGCCAGTCAAATATTGGTCTTATACTGTTATACCATAAAATACCTTACCTTACCATACCTTAGATGCAGCTTACAAAAATGGTCCACAACCCTTTTTAATAAACTTATTTCATTATTGTCAAGTTCTGGGTGAGATTATCTTACAGTCTTCTAAAGGCAGAGCAGCAATCTATGGACAAAAAGGCTCTGTTCATCTCTAGCTTTTCCCTTGAGACAGAAAGCAGCAGCTTGAAATGGCATCACGATCTGTAAAGACAACACACATGAACATTAATGGAGCTGATACTGCATCTTGACCCCCACTTTGCTCTTACGAAGTGCAATGTACAGTAAATGGAAACTATCATTACAAACATGGCTCACATTACAATTGTTCAAAAGGTTATTAGATGGGCTGATTCTATGGCAGAAGTCACATTACATTTGGCCCAATTATAATGCTGAATGCTAAGTCAGACACTGGACCAGTTTTTCACATTGTTCTGTCTGTTGTCCTTTCATTTTCACAGTTTTGCTCATAAGTTTGTCACTAGGCGGAATTCACATCTGACCCACAGGACTTTACTGAGGCAACAAGATGGCAGTTTGAGTGAGAAGTGAATCCTCGCAGGAGTTTCAGTGGCTTTGGCTTAGGAAGGAGGTCAGTCTCTGTAGGTCCAATGCAATCATTACTTTTATTAAAAGCAGTTTGTTCTTTTCATCATGACTGTTTAAGTACACGTTTTATGGTCATAATGTAACTGGTTTTACATGCTTAGCAGGAAAAACACAAACGAGTATGGCATGGGTTAAATTATAATGAACCGTACACTATTTTTACTATGTAGAGTATGCTTCAAAATGGTACACAATACACAATAAAAGTAGTTGTATATAAATAATAAATTTACATTTATATAGATCCTCATTGGGACACAAATATATTTTGACTGTCGATTTTCAACAAATTGCAGTTAAAGCATGATTACCTAAAAGCCTAAGGGCCCCCCATAGTTTGGACATGCCTGTTCTGAAGTAATTCAATACACTGAATTGCTTGAGAGTCTCAAATGTAATGCTACTTTGATGTTGTTTGCGTTTGCTTTTTAATGCATATAGTCAAATCACTGTCAAACCATTGTCACAACTTCACCCAGTCTTGTGTAGTCATAGTACTGACACTCTTTACATTGAAGGACGCATTAACAGTTTTTAATCAAAGTTAATTTTACCTTAAGAGTCAGGCAGAGCTGACTTGGTCCATTCTGGTCTGCAGTTGGAAGGCATCAGGTCTGTCTGCGGGGTTAACAGCCAGCATGTCTCGTAGCAGCTTCCTCATCTCTTCACCCATCTGAGACCTGCGCTTCTGAGGAATATTGAGGATCATCTTTGGGTTTTCCAGCAACGCTTCACCCACTGGTACTATGTTCCCTGCCTGTCTCACATAGGTCCCGAGCAACTCCCGCTTGGTCTCTGCGTCAATAAACGTGATTCTCTCCAGCATGGCCCAGATAATGATCCCCATTGCAAATATATCAGCCTTGGCAGTGTAATGGCCCTCCCACACCTCAGGGGCCATGTAAAAGTCCGAACCACACGCAGATGACAGCCAGTACTTGTTCACATTGACGTTTTTGTTGTTGTCTTCCTGGTCTTTACCTTCAGCTTTGTTTTGAAACCCCGCACACACCTTACTCAATCCAAAATCGGCCACTTTGAGCACAGGTGAGCCGGACTTGTGGGAGATAAGGATGTTATCTGGTTTGAGGTCTCGGTGGACGATATTGTTCTGGTGCAAAAAGGCTACAGCACTGGTCAGTTGTACCATGAAACGATTGTTGGTGTGAGGGTCAGGGCGGCGAGACAGTATGAAATGGTTAAGATCACCCCCTTCACAGAACTCCATGACAAACCAAAGGTAACAGGGTTCATCAGGGCAGCTGAGGACTCGCTCACCTGAAACACAGCAAAACACATCTTTATATTAATGTGAGGAGCACACATTAAGAAATAAGGCTGAAGGATTTGGGGAAAATATCTAATTGACAATATAACTGGCATCAATATGTTTTTCTGACAAGTATTATATTCACAGTTAATGCTTTAATCATAGGATTCTCTTTTCAAAGTTCATATTTGAAACATGTCCAGAAGTATTCACAAAAAGACAAACAGACTTTCAGAGTAACACTTCAAAACATGTTTAAACAAATCTAAAATACAGGGCTAGTCATTTATATGCAGAAAAACAGAAAATAATGCTGTTTATGGAGGAAACTACAGTACTTCAAAAAACGCAGCCTTTGTGGTTTGCCAATTGCATTCATTCAAATTATGATTTTGATTCGATTAATCTTGTAGTCCTATCAAGAAAGATGCACAGCCAAGTTTAATTTGTTGATGCCAAGGTAGGCCTACACAAAGATTCACTTGTATAGGCTAATTGTAATAAACATCCCCAGATGTTTACAGATTTTCGAAATTCAAAAACTGCGACACCCTGGGTTTGAGGTGGTTGGAAATAATAAAATTGTGAAAGGAATGTGTAATTAAGGAAAACTTCTGCATTCGGCCCATTCATGACGAACATGTGACTCAGTATAGTTTTACCCAACCAAATAACAAGTCATGATTCTTTTTACTGTTGGCAGGTATCAAATTGGTGAAAATGGGGACACCTGGGACATTTCTTGTATAAAACCAGGACAAATCTATGGTTTTGTATAAATCTGAGGGGACAAGGGACACGGGGCTCAAAACTGGGACTGTCCCGGGTAAATAGAGACGTCTGGTTACCCTAAATAAACATATTTCGAAATGAATAGCTTATTCGTAGGTTTCAGAATGATGAAAATCCAGCACCGTTTCCTTAGCAATTAATACATTCAAATCCATGCAATTACGCATGCACAACATCCCCCACCCCCCGTGACGATGACAGAGCTGCCATCATGGAAAAAAACAAAAAACAAAAAACACTTGAACTTTAGATTAGAGTTTAATCTAATGACAGAAGGAAACAGAGAGTCGTACGTACCTTTCAGGGATGTCTCTACCAGACGCAGGTACTGTTTGGACCGCTTGTTACCATGACTCATCTTCTGGGCCAGATCATTTCTTTGCAGTACGCACTCTTCCAAATGCACTACGTTCTCGTGTCGTTTCTCCAAACTTGTGAGCGCCCAAAACTCCTGCAACGCGAGCTCCACGTTCTCCGGCGCATCGCATCGCAGTTTTTTCACCGCCACCTTGGCACCGGACTTCCGCGACTGAGCCTCGTACACCACTCCGTACGTGCCCCTGCCCACCTCTCGCAGGAGACTGTAGCGGGGCGCAGTGACCCTGTGCTCCAGGCCGCGTACCCTCTCCATGGCATGGTCCGGAGAGGCGCACGCTGCGAAACCTCAACACGTCCAGCGCCCCCGACCCAGAGCAGCGTCAGGCCCGCGCCATCTCACCCTCCCTGACCCGGCAGACCATCACAGACCACACCGAAACTGTTCCGAAGCAGTTGTGAAGGCAGCACACCGGAAGCAGCGTGGAGAAAGTAGGAAATGTTGCCACTGGTACCGCCCACTTCTGATCAGGCGACTGGGATCCGAATCATATCAAAGAGCCGTTCAAAGGACTGGCTCTTTTTATATGTAATTTTAAGAAAGAAGCCAATGTGAGAACTCAAGAGAAATGACCAACTTATTATTATTATTATTATTATTATTATTATTATTGTTATTATTATTATTATTATTATTATTGGTCGACACAGAACCATTTATTCAACGCGAGAGCTTTGTGCACAAATAAATAAACATAATAATAATAATAATAATAATAATAATATAATAATAATAATAATAATAATAATAATAATAATAATTCAATTGTAAATGCATTTTATATGCTGGTCGACACAGAATCAATTCAACGCGAGAGCTTTGTGCACAAATAAATAAATAAATAAATAATAATAATAATAATAATAATAATAATAAGAAAGAAGAAGAAGAAGAAGAAGAAGAAGAAGAAGAAGAAGAATTTATTTTTAAAAAATCTGTGAGACTCGGATCCAATTCCAAATCCACTTCAGGAAACAAAGAGCCGAGTCGTTCACGAACGTCTCATCACTACAGGCTACAAATGAATAACTTTTTCATGAGTATGTGATAGTAATAGTCATTCTCTTTGCTGCTTCACTTTTAAATATAGCCCATGAATTTCAAATAGCCAGTGCCACTTGTCATGAATAGATAATTCAGTCATTGATCATTTTTTGGATATTGTGCTATTTGGGACCTCTCCTTCATGAAAAAGCATGAAAAGATAGGCCTACACTAGCCTTCATCATTGTGTAAATGTCTAAATCAAATGGGAAATTCTCTTCTCAAGTCACATATGTTGTCACCTACATTTAATAGAGACCTATGTATCTCTTTAAAATATTACACACTGAGATAACAACAGACAGCCTGAGACAGCAGGCGATAGAACCTTTATTTATCATATAATAAACCAACTAAATTCGTCTGCTTCCACTAGATGGTGCTATGTGACTGCCTGCAAAACAAGCCAGTTGCACAGGACTAACTGCAGCATTGGGCCAGCGATAACGCCCCCCTGCCTTCTGGCCCTTCACTTCCTCCTGCCCTCTCCACAGATCGATGGGCGCAGATTAATGCCCGTGTGGGAGAGACGGCTGGAGCTCTGTCTAATGCATCCTCAGCACAGGCAGCGAACACGAGCTTCACTGTCAGGGGACTATTGACAGTCTGGAGTGCAAGGCTACATTTAACCCTACTGCCATTTCCTGTCTGTGATGGAGTTAGAAGATGATCTGTGCAGAATAAACCTATGCAGTTTTCTACTTAGGTCTAGGGACAGTGGGCTCAGTGGAACGATTAAAGCTGCCCTATGTCACTTTTGTAATGGACAATAAGCTTGCACCTTATCTCCTTTGAAATTGTATTGATTTATTTGGTAGATTCCACAGTACCATAGATAAAGGTACACAAAACTGACTCTTGTGAGCTTTTAAGCCATATTAGGATGTTGTTTTCTCTCGCTAGATCTAGAAGTGGTGGTTTCCAAGTTAACAAGTATTGAATATATTTTGTTTAGTAGTGATTGGAAATTCCAAGGCTGAAACTGTCCTAATGATTCCGGTGAACGTGCATGGAGTTGAAAATCACAGTGGAGGGCTTCCTGTGTTTTCCATTTGTTTTTGATGAGGAAACAACATTACAACATAGATAAGAAAATAGCATAATATGGGCACTTTAATCGTGCATATGTTAAATTTCAAGTGTTTTTATTGCTCACGTACCTTGAAAACATGCACTTTTTGTGAGTGGGCTTGCATCTCCACAGATTTGGAATGTAACGTGGCCTGGTGGTGACATCACTGCTATGTTGTCATGGGAACAGACGAAACATACCAAGCTATAACATCTTCATGGATACAAACAGGTGGTGTATACCCTCCATCAATCAAAGTGCATTTTTAAAATGGCTTTATATTCATGTGTTTAAAAAATTCAGAGATATTCTTCCCTCACACAGCATCCCATCTCAAACAATGGATTTTGCCGCTAACATTGGGAAGCTTAGTCTTGTCCCAGGATGACAGGAGAACACAGAGGAATCAATAGTAATGTGTGTAATGTTCCCGTGGGATCATGTGTCTGTGGGCTCCGGTCTAATGGACTCTTTCAGCGCTCACCAACCACTCCAGTGTTGGAATCAAAACTCAATACAAAAACACAATGAACATTTAGAATTATCTGGACTAATTAATTTATACATACCCATTAGCAATCGAGAAAAAGGACAAAGCAAGAGACTGTGGTTGTGGTTCTTTGTGAATAATTAGTAAAAGATTCAATCCAAGCCCTATTGTTGTACCTTCTTTTGGAGTGTGCACCCAAGGAATAATAAAACAATAAAACAAATGTATTCTATTCTACCTGGACGACTGAGGGATTCTACACACATCTTGGATTCTGTTTATTTATTTTTAGTATGTGATAAAGCTCACAATAGATAGCTTTTTCCTGTTGGAGTACCATGAAATAAAACATTTTCCTTATATATACTGACTAACCTATATAGCACTAGTATTTGCAGTTTTTAGCATATCATCTGTTGGCTTTCAGTGTCCACCATAGGCTGATATTTGATATTTTACATTATTTGAACCCTGTCTTGCTGGTTTGTTGTTAAAGAGGATGCCAAAATATGATTTCCAAACATATTGTTCTTCCTTATTATACCAATTATATAGCAATGCATCTTATATGCAGTAATTGAGTTTATAATAAATACAAATAAATCATACATTTGTTTGGGGAAAAAACTGGCCCCACATAATGACTTAAAAGTATCACCAGAGCTTATCTGCCACTGACTGTTCTAGATTTATAGAGATATTAGCATCACCATGGGAAAAACCTTGCCTTATCTTTAATAATAAGAAGTAAATTGTGGTTTTAAAGTTAAAGCGACAATATCAAATGTTATAACTGACCAATTTACAGGTTCTCCACCTTCCTTATTTTAGGAGCTATAAAAAATACTAAGCTTTGTAATGAATATGAGAGGGGGGCTGAATATAGTATCACAGAGCAGCATTCATTAGTAAAGTAAAATTGATATTGGGACGTCAGCTCACTAACCATCACCCCTGTTATGACCTGCTCTCAGATGGAGCAGTGAGGTAATGGTGAAAAAGGCCCCCACTAATTGAGCTATTGACATTTTCTGAGATGAGTTCAACACCACAAGGCTCAGAGCACGGTGGTAAAATATGGGAGATTATAACAGCTTGTCTTGGAAGAGGAGAACAAGCAGATAAGATGGGCCATGGATGAATCAATAATTAAATCATGCGTCACAGGGTAAGGGACTGATGACAGAGAGTGGAAAGGGCTTTGATTGATTAAAAAAAAAAAAGAAAAATATTAAATAATAAATCTAACGGGTGAAATAGCTAAACATTTCACATTTTCATATGAGCGGAGATAATGTACTTTTAATCCCAGGGCAGTCAGCCTCATCTTGCATGTTAAATTCCTGAGATGTTCCTTTAAAAATATGGAATATGTTTTGTACTTTTCAGAAATTAGATGCTTTTTAATAAAAAAATAAAATAAAATTTCATGGATGCATGTATGTATACATTTGCTTGTTTCTATAGACCTAGAATTAAGTTTTTTCATCCTCCTTGGTTTTGTTTGGATGTTGAGGCCATAGTAATTGTGACACTAGGTCAATTTTGTCTATGAATATACCACTGAACTGTCAATTATTTATCGTAAAAGTATAAAAAAATTGATGAGATCTAGATTACATCCTTGCCCCTCTGAGTTGATCTCTTCTTTCTGCATTGGTGGTTTGCTTAGCTGGTTTGATCACACATGAGGAGAGCCTGCTGTATAGTGCTGACTTGGAGTTTTGTGGCTGTAATGAATCTAGTCCCTTAGATTGGAGGGGTTTGCCTGGACTGCTCTGTATTCACCAGGCAGGCCCTGTAAGACCTGGGTTTGGATAGCTTGATGAAATTGCCTTTCTAAACCCTGCCTACCTTCTGAAAACCATTTGACACAGTAATAGCTCACACATACTGCTCCATACGTGGACTTTGGGCTGTTATTACGCCAAATCAGAACAATACAGCAGCCAGTGGGAAATAACACAGCACTGACATTGGGGGAAATTGATTGTCTGGCCTTTGGGTTGTAAAGGTCACTCTCCAAATTAAATGAGAGTTTGAAAAATTGCTCCAGTACGGCAGTTTTATTTATTGGATTTCTCATTTGTTTTCACCTTTTATTATTTTTGTTCTTGAAAAAAGAATAATTGAAACATAGAATTTGGACTGGTTGGATTTGATGTTTTTTCAAAAATATATAGGCCTATGCAATTTCTTTTTCAACTTCCAAATTGGATATGTAATTTATTTCTGAAACCAAAACAAAAAATTACCATGTATGTGACAAAATTATAGCCCATACAGATAGCATTTTATTTTTATTTTTTATATAGTATTATTGTTTTTTTTATTATTATTATTATTATTATTATTATTTTACATTTGGCCAGATTTCCTCTTATGCCCGAACCCCTTGCGACTATAAGAAAAACGTATATACCACTGAACCGAATCTTGATCTGCTTATTGGGGCATGTTTATAAAGACCCAAAGCTAAATATATCTTCTGAATGAACAGTCAGTACCCCAGAACAATGACTCATTAAACACAGTCGCCTGCTTTATCCAGCTTTATTAAAGGCGGCAGGTTGATATTCCTCTCATAAGGAAGTCTCCAGTCGAACGTCCCCAGCTGCTCAGAGTGTGAAGAGCTCATTTCCTGAAACGTAACAAAGGCACAATCGCACACTTCTGAGCTGACACTGGGGAGGCCTCTCTCATGAGATATTATGATAGTACTGAGATAGTAGAAGGAAATATTACAGCTTTCTACATAACACATCGAAAAATTGTAGCATGAGTGACCAAGGAAAAGAAGATATAT